ATGCCCAAATTAGACATCAAAATCAGCTTTCATTAAACGTTGTTCTAAAGCATCATGATTAATATTTTTACTACTTTTCTCAAACATTTCATAAGCTTTATGAAAACTGTTAGCAGCTTGTTCGGGGTCAGAGCCACTTTCAGCTAGTTTAAATAGAATTCTGCCTTTATTTGAATAGATTAATGATAACTGTTGTTTGTTGTGTGGTTCATGTAGCAGAGCATTTTCAGCATCTTGACAATAGATTAATGCTTGTGAATAATGATTTTGTTGAATATATATAGTACAGATATTGTTATATATTTCGGCTAATGCATTATTATTTGAATATTCTAATTTCATTTGATGATCAAGCGCTAGTTTATAACACTCTAAGGCATCTCCATATAGTGATTGTTTCATATAAATCATGCCTAAACAATTGTAAACCGATGCTATCAGAGGATTATCCTTTAGTAATGTACTTTCGATTAAAGCTTTTAAGTAACTTTAAACAAAACGATATTCGCCTAACTCAGTTAAATATTTAGATAATAATATACGCAATGCTGTTTGAGATGATCTTTTAACTTTTGAACGTATATCATCAATAATTATTTCATTTAAATCACATGCTGTAAGTTTAATATAATAAAATTTATCGGTATCATCAACTAATGGATCAATGACTTGATCAACAGAAAATACAGCACCGATGCTAAATAAGACTTCTTGCTCTTCTGGATGCTGAGAGATATTTCCAATATCAGCAAATGCTGTACATGGTTGATTCGAATCAATTCGAATTTTGTATATAACACTAACAACTCCTGGACGTTTTGATTTGTTACATTTAGTCCATGATTCAGCAAATCGCTTACTTTTTGTTGTTGATACAAAACCATTCATGGCTATATATTGTCCTGCTTTAGAACCACATTTAACATTCATCAATTCAATTTCACTTATATTTCCTGCTCTGTAAATCATTGTCACGTGACTTTTATCGTGCCTGTAAAGTGTTTCAATTTGTAAACATAAATCAATAATATAATAACGATAAGACATTAAAAGTTGGAAATTTTCTAAACGCAGTATATTATTTATCTGTCGATATATAAATGTTTCATTATTTGTATACCATTTAATTGGATTAGCATATTCTAATTCCACCTTACTGTCAACACCACTTGAGATCTAGATAATGTTTGAAATAACATATCACATGGTGGTTACCGAGAAAAAGTAGTCCGAATAACATCTCTTTTCCAAAAACCCAAAAAGGTCCTGTGTTATAGGTGAACTTTAGCATTTATTGCAATTCAGAAGATAAAATCTCGTTGCTCCGTACCGAACGCCAAGTCTTAAATGCCGCTTGTTTTAAGTTACCTGACATAACTGAGTACTCGCAAACAATCAAACATTTTATTCCCCGGTCCTTTTCGATTAGATATTCGTCTCCTCAACTTTTGATGTTTTCACGAATACTCAAAAACTAGTAAGACAAACTACTGAAAAAGTCGAGATAGAGAAAAAGAGAAGACCAAAAACTAAGATGTATAGCTGTATTTTTAGCTCTCAATGTATCTCGACCCGTCTTTGTGACCCTTTGACGACCCACTTTCTATCGAAATAATCTGAAATGGTAAAAAATCAATGAACACTTTACAGGATCTTCAAAAACTGCCTGAATTATCTAAATTCTGAATCTGAAATTTCTAAAAGAAACTTTTATCTATCTTTATAAATTTTATAAAAATGTTCTCAACTATCAAAAAATTACAGAAATCATAAAAGGTTTTTTTTATATCCTTATAATCTTAACAATATATAGGCTTTTTCAAATCTTATGGATAATTCCAGTTTTTCAAAAAATGAGATTCTGACAATGGAGTAAACAGACTGCTTTTTTTGACATGCACAAATAATTCCAAGTACTTTAGATCAGTTATTCGACTGTGCTTAGTCGTATGATAGCTCGTTTCGATCAAGAGAGAAAGAGAGGAGGAAAACAATGGAACACTGAATTTCTTTACACATTTCAACAACTAGACAATGTTGAAGAAAGACAAGAAAATTTACTTTCGAGTAGGCATGCACCGATTTCGATTAATCGAAATTCGATTATTCGAAATCGAACATAATCGAACTTCGATTATTCGAAATCGAAAATATTCGAACCTTCGATTATTCGAAATCGAAAATATTCGAACCTTTTTTCTGTTTCTGGCAAAATACTAGAGCGACGTGAGAGTTCAGATTATTTGTGTAAAGTGTAAAATGAAGTTAAGATGGATCTTGATTAGGCATGCAACGTAAAGGTTACCGTTACCGTTTACCGGTTTTACCGAACCTTAGCGATTTAACGTTCGATTCTTGTCTCTTGATATTTCAG